CTCCCACTGCAAGGTGTTGCCAACCAGGAAAGCACACTTGAACCTTGGTTTCCACAGTTTTTATTGGGAGCCAGTCCCAATAAAATGCAGGTGTGAATCATCTGCGTGACTGACCTCAACTGCTCATTCCCCAGCCTCCCAGAAAAAAGAAATGGTCAGCATAAATCACACTGTAAGTATAAGCTATCTGATTAAATTAGAACCCTCTGGCCCAAGGGCCCAGAGCCCATTTCCCAGAAGCTGGCCAAAGACCAGTCCTGAAGAAAGGCCTTTTCGGGTATGTGCAGAGTTTGAGCAACACAGGGCTGCTGAGTTAACTTTCTGCACAAGTGCAGAATTACATGACACTGAGATTCCTTATAATTATAATGTTTTGCGAAATGGATTAGTAACTTCTTCATATATATTGTAAAGACTTGAGTGCTTTTGTCTGTTTAAGATGGTTTGGATATATCTGTTTGAAAGGCTAAATTTAAAAAAAAAATTAATACCTATGCTAGAAAATAAGAACTGAATTGAATGTGTAAAAATAAAAGAATGTGTCTTACACAAGTCAACCCAGAACTCTTAATGAGTAAGCTCCCAAGTGGAAAGATTAAGAATTTTCAGACTTGAGTCATTTTAAGGAAATCTTAAGTAAACTACCTAATTAAACCCAGTTTCAGAAGCTAAGTTCAGTTAACATTTGATTAGCAATCACTGATATTTTTAATTTCCTTTGCATTGGTGGTAAATTTAACAGTATTAAATGAAAAACCTTTGCACCTTTTGATTCAGTTGAGTAAAATGCTTGTTTTACTTTCCTAATTTACTATGAGTCTCTCTTACACTCATTTTAAAGTTATTTAGTGCAGTATTCCATATTTAGTTCCTGTTAAATAACTAGTACATTCATCTTCCCATTATTTATCCATGATCCATGGTTTTCCAATTGAGAATGGTTTTATTTGTGTTTTTACTATGTCTTTTTGTGTGTGTGTGTTTTTTTTTTTATGGTCACTTAATATGTTTGGGTCATATTTAAAATTAATTTTAAAATGTTCAGAAAATTTTTTTTATAAATTGAAGTATATCTGGGTGGGTTTTTTCCCTCCCAAGTCCATAATTTATAACTTTGGTATAAAATTTGCAAAATTACCATATAGAATAGTGCATTTCCTTCTACATTTGAAATTACAGAATATTCGAAATCGGTATATTCAATTTAAAGTAGGGGAAAACCTTTCTAAAATTTGACATACTTCACCTGAAAAAAAAGCATTGGAATTACTTTGGTATAAAAGAAACTTAATGTTCCTGTCTGGTTAGTCATTTTACTTAGAATTAACCCCATACACTAGAAATGGCACAGTATAAAATTACCATATTAAGTACTGAACTCTTTTTTTCACATTTCTAATTGATATTTTCTTAACTGTGTTTAAGTGTGGTACAGGAGGGGACCAAATGACTTTTCAACACTGAGTACATATAAATGTCCCTGGGGTAGTTACATAACTGTTATCTTAAAATGTTTATTGCTGGGTCTAGAAGTGGATCTTAGTTTTCCAGTTGGCATGAACTACTTTTTCAGAAGGAGCAAAAGTGTTATTTTTTAGCTGGCACTGCCTGGCTTTTTAGCTAATGTGGTTTCCCAGCCATTCACAATATAATATCTGTGGTTCAGTGAGATTTTAAGTAGTGTTTTACCTTTTCCTATTATAAATAAAAGTTACAGTAGTATAGAATACTTTAGAGCCACAAGTGCTGTACTTTGCAACACTCTAGTAATCCTCCTGGCCGTTTTTTTCCAGTATTTGTTTTATTCAATGTGCTACTCTAAAGCAAAAGCCCACATTGGCAATTAAAAATTCTTTGGCAAATCTGAATTTGACTTTTCTATTGAAAAGAGACTCTACTGCTTTAGATTTTCTCTTTTCTCACTCAGAAATAGGCATTTAAAATTTTTTTCACTTTTTTCACATTTTTTTGTTCAACAAATGTGACATTGTAATAGGAACTCATAGTCAAAGCTAAATAAGACGCCATTCTTACCATTGAAAAACTTACACTCTAGGCTCTTCATTCCATTTTTCTATCAAGAAAATGGAAGATAAAGATTAGTAAAAGCATAAATTATTCCCTGGTTGTTTTTATGTAGTTCCTTGGGCCATTTTCTTTTGACTGGATGGTTTATTGCCAGACCTCGTTCAAGCTTGCTTCCTTCTCAGGCACTTGAAGGCGAACTGGTCCAGCAAGCTGGTTAGAGTGTACTACGACACCTAAATAGCCAGAAAGCTGGAATTGTTAAAACTCTTTAGTGTTCAAGCTTCCAAATACCATTTCTCTTTCAGAGTTATCTACTTTACCTAAATTAGGGCTTTTTGGAATTTCATCCACAAAGCCTGCAATCTTTTTTCTTTTTTAATTGCCATTTTGTTTATTGTTTTCTGGCTGTTTTGGAGTTCCTCCTCTTCTTTTTTTTTTTTTTTTTAATTGTTCAAATGCATTTGTCTCCATTTTCCCGCCACCACTTTCCCCTGTGCCATCCACCCCCACCTCCCACCCTCAATCCTTCCCCACTTTGACTTTGTCCATGGGTCCTTTATACATGTTCCTTGACTTGGCCCTTCCCCTTCTTTACACCAATACCCACCTCCGTCCTTCCCTCTCATTACTGTCGGTTTGTTTTTTCTTTCAATGTTACTGGTTATATTTACACAATGAAATACTACTTAGCAGGAAAAAAGAGCTACTACCCTTCGCAACAACATTGATGGAACTGGAGAGCATTATGCTAAGTGAAATAAGCCAGGGGGTGAAAGACAAATACCATATGATCTCACCTATAAGTGGAACCTAATCAACAAAACAAGCAAGAAAAATATAAAAAGCCTGCAATCTTACTTGCTTTTCAAAGCTCTTGTGGGAAACCTTCATTTATATGTATTGTCAGGTAAGGTACCACAGCCACAAATCCAGGAAATTACCCACCATCCCAAGCATCCTTTGAAAATTGTGAATTATTTAAGATCTTAAAAAAATCGTTTCCCAGTATCTTCTACAGTTTAAATTGCCAATCTAGTTAAACCCTGGTGAGTTTTGCTATAGAGTGAACATAATCACTTTGAGGGATAATTAATATATTCTTCAAATATGAGTAATTTAAATTTTGTATTTAAATTATAACCTATTTAAACTATTAAATTCAGTCCAAGAATAATTAAAACAGTTGTTTAAAATTTATTTTAAAAATATATTAGACATTCTGAATTAGAATATATATAAATCTAGAATTTAGAGCATTTAAGAGATGATTTGTAAATCTCGGCAGTTTAGTATGAACCTCCCAAAAAGATTCTGTAGCAAACTCTTGAAAGGATTTAGAAAGGTTGTGGATTAAATTTTTTCTTACCTTCTGGGGGGAATACCAGTATTTGTGGCATCTGTTCATTTGTGATAACACATCAAAAAGCATCTTATCCTGAAAGGCAATACATGACCTCTTCTAAATAAAAGTGTAGAGAGTGAAGAATAAATTAATAGTATATTATTTATTGCAGTTTTGCATTGTCTAAAAACCCATTTGATATATGAGTTCCTTAGTATCTACTATGATAACATCAGACAGAAATGTCTGTTATGGCACAACATTTCTATCAGTGTAATTTTGCTTCTGAAACGCCATTTAAAAATTTTATTAAGAACAATATTTTAGGAAGTAATGTTCCCTTTTAATTGCACGTGTTGATATTTAAAACTAAGGCATTAGACAGATTGTCCCCAAAATACTGAAGTATGAGTGTTGTGATAAAGAAAGTTTAAGCCACCTAAGTGCGTGTAAATTTCACTTTGATAGTTTTAAGGTAAATATTTAATTCTAGGCATTATTTATGGCACATGGTACTTGTTCAAATAGTATGGTGTAATGAATTATTTTAAAATGTGAAGATTGGTAGGAAATAGAAAATGTAGTAGTCTCCTAATGCTTCTGTAACAAATTACCACAGATTTAGTGTTTTAAAACAACAGATTTATTATCTTAACAGCTCCAGAGATCAGAAATTTTAAAATCAAGATATTGGCAGGGCTCTTATTCCTCCGGAGATTTGGCAAGGGAGCAGGGGGCAGGGGGTGGATTAATCAATTTCTTGCCTTTTTTCAGCTTTTAGAGGCCTCTGCATTGCTCGACTCATAGACCCTTGCTCTATCTTCAAACCAGCAGCATACGTTTTCATTTTCTCTCTCTATTTCTATTGATGAACATTAAAATAACCTGATAATTATTAATAGAGAAAATTAATATAAATTTTCATTCTCATATGATCTTAAAGTCATCCATCATAACCTTAGTGGAATGCATATCAAACTAAAATTCTCTTCAACATGAAGAAGGGTATGTGATGAAATTATAATCATGTAAACATGGTAATTTTACTTTTCTCTGCTGTGTGTGTGTGTGTGTGTGTGTGTGTGTGTGTGTGTGTGTTAATTTTCTAAAATAAATCTGGATTAACTCCTGGAATAATATAAAAATATTTTATTACTGATTTTTTTCAATTAAGAATTAAAATTAGGAATTTTTCAGTAGATCTCTACATTTCTCTCTAAATTGATGAGATTGCCAGTGTTCTATGTCATTAAAATAAGTAAAAATTTAAACTTAAGAGTTCTTAAATTAACATTTTGAATTATTTTAATCTTATTTTTATTAAGGAAATGTTTTTATCCAGGAGATCTTATGGCACACTTGATTTTCTGGCTTTTATAGAATCTGAATATAGTTGTTTTAGGGAGAGTAGTTCTTAAGTTCATTTTGTATGGCTGTTTTTCAGAGCATGCTTATTTCTTACCGTGTATAATAGGAGTTATTCTTGTCTAAAAGTTAAGAATTTATTTAATATCAGATTTCTTAAAAGCAAAATATAAGAAGGAATTTAACTCAGTAATGACAGTTTAAAATTAGATTTATAACTAAACTTATTTTGTGTGCATGTGTGTGTGTTTTTTTTGTTTTACAGGAATTGAAACCTGATATAGTAACAAAATCTGCTCTTGGTGATGATATCAATTTTGAAAAAATCTGCAAAAAGGTATATCGGCAATGGATTTTATTTTTATTTTTTAGGAAAAGTTTATTATTTATATTTTTGGCTTTTTCCTTGATGAGAAAACTTACCAAGAAGCCAGGCATTATAAGTATGTAATGAATTTTCCTCACTTGAACTCCAGTATTGCCACCAAAAAATATATTTTGTGGTAATTTATGAATTTTGTTGTTATCACACCTTCAGGGTCTTTAAAGGTTTGTTGAACTAACTTAATATGATATTAACATGTTAGATACTAGGTTGTTGATCTTAATTATTCAAATAAAGAATCATTATTTTTTTTCTTTCCAAATCATTTCCATGAATATTTCTTTTAACCCTTGCATTCACCCTGTGAACCATTTTACTTAATTCCTTTTTACAAATGAGAAAAACAGAAAGATTGTAGTGAGGTGATTAAGGCTATTCCACGATTACGTGGCAATTAGGACTTTTACCCAGATCATCTGGTTCTTGGATTTACCAGTCCTGCTTCTTCTTATTTGCCTTTTTATATTTCTACACACTTTGCTAATGCCTTCATAAGAGGGTTTCACCTAAGAACAGATTTTGGGCTGATAGATTTTTCTATACTGCTTTTCTCTTTTCACTTTGATTGACATTTGCTCTACTCTGTATTATTTGTTTCTTTTTGCATTTGTGCTTACACTTTTTTCTAGTTTTCTTAATGGGGAAATTTAAATCACTCATTTTAGACCTCCTTTTCCAATGTAAGCATTTTAATGCTATAAATTTCCCTCCAGGAACTACTTTAGCTACATCCCATATATTTAATGTTATGATTTGATTTGAGTTTAAAATGTTTTGAATTTCCTTGAAACTTTATTTTTGACACATGCTGCTTAGAAATACATTCTTTAATTTCTGAGCAACTAGGGGATTTTTCTGGGTTTATTTTACTACTATGTTTTTATGATACATGAACATACTTTTTTCGATTTTTATTCTTTTTATTATTTGTTATGGTTCAGACTATGGCTTATCTTGGTGACTCTTTTATGTGCCTTTTAAAACAATGTATATTCTATTAGGATCACTGTCCTATAAATGTCATTAGGTCAAATTGGTTGATGATGATGTTCAGGTGATTTATATCTTTACTGATTTTCTGCCAGCTTGTTTTATTGATTACTGAGAGAGGTATGTTGGAATCACCAACTGTAAATGTCAGGCTGTCTATTCCAGCCTTAAGCAAAAGAAATATTCTCTATTTATACAGACTAGCACTGACTTCTCTACTACTAACTGATATTAGACATGGTAAAAGTTAAAGTATTTCATTGTGAGAAGGCCAGAATTTAAGAGTTTTGCCTGTTGAGGGTCATGAGGATTTGTTGTTGCCATCATTGTTCTTGTCAGAAGCAATATCAAAATCATGAGCGTGATTTTACAATAGCCTCTTTATTTTCTACTACTTTGATTTTACAGTAAATATTTCATAGGATTCATTCATAAAAAAGCGGGATATTTTTAGTTTTGAAATAGTTTTAAACTTGTTGTATGGTCTGTATCTCACACAAAATAATGACACCTTAAATTGAAGAGTGGTAATGGTATAAAGATTTGGCTGAATATATTTTCTTTTTCTCTTGAGAGTTTAAAAAAAAAAAGTTTAAGATTTTTACCAGAATAAATTTTTTGAATTTTTGGTTGCTAGGTCTGAAGGTATTTTATTAATGTTTAATTTGTAGTGAGAATAAAATACAATTTATTTTTAGTTCTTTAATAATATTATGTTTTCATCTAAACTCTTAACAGTAACACTTGGCAACATTTAGTACTTCACTTGAACTTGGAAATACCCAAAATAAAATATCCTGTGTCTTTTTTTTTTAAGCTGCTCAGCCAGATTATTTTCACTTTGGAAGTTTAGTAGCAGTTAATGTGTGTGTAATATATGTAAAAAGAGTTTTTTAGGGTATGGTCTGTCTTCCATTTACAGCCCTTTGTTCAACCTTCCATTGTTTGAAATACCATTTAAATTGAAAGTGGGGAAACAAACATCTATAATAGCTTATTATTTTGTAATATTACTAAAATATGACTAGATTTGTGGGCATGTGAAGAATAATAGTAATTCAGATAAAACATTTAGGATCTATCTGACTGAAATGTTGTGAAATGAAACCTGATGACATTTCCGCTCTTCTATACCTTCCTCCAAAAAAGAGAAAGGCAGAGAAGTTGAAAGGGAGGAAGGGAAAACAGTTCTGTTTCATGAAAGTTCTTCATAGATCCTTGAGGGATTTAAAGCCAAGGGAGATTGCCCTGCTTAAGATTTATTTCCATTTTCCTCCTGAGCTATTTGATTTCAGCAATTTTGTTACTATTTTATTTCATTTGTGATATTCTTTCATTGGATTCAAATTCTTCCATACCAAAATCTGTTAATAAATTAAACCTCTATAACAAAAATGAAGCAGGCAGCAGATGTCTGGGAGGGAGGACTGATTAATAATTCATTTGCCATCGGAAGGGATCGCAGTGGAAGATGACCAAATAAGAAATAATACTTACATAGAACTCTGCACAGAAGCTTAGAGCAGAGTAGAGCAGAGTAGACCACTTTGTCTACTCTGAGTAGAGAAGAGCAGAACAGACCAATTTGTGTAACATTTTACATCTTACACAACTCTTTATGCATTCGTACCTCAGTTGGTCATAAAAAAGTATAAAGCAGTAATTGCATACAGAAAATATTCATGTGTGTGTGCGCCTCATGCATGTGTATGTGTGGTAATAGTGGTAGTGTCTTTATTTTTCAGATAAAGGGGGTAGAAAGGTTAAGTAGCCAGTTAATATGTGTATAATGAGAGTTTAAAGCTAGAGAGTGTAGGGACTGGAATGCTGACATTTCTAGAGAGCTGTTGCCAGATTTTCAGGAGCATCTCAGTTCAAAATATCTGTTGCTTGCTTAGCAGTTGGCTAAACACTGTAGAAGATACGAAGGGAATAGATGACAGTATTTTCCAGAGGACTGTGTAAATCCAGTAGAAAATAAAAGACAGTTATTAAACAATTTTAGGATAAGGGGAGGCAAATTGATATTTGTTAACATGTACCAGTTGACTGACTGATTAGGTGCTTTATGTATGTTAGCTTTCTCAGAGAAGATGATGATAACCCCATTTAACTGCTAAGACAATGGGCCCAGAAAGGTCAAAAATATACATATAGTCAGGCGGTAAGAAATGGTAGGTCCAAGGTCTAAACCCAAGTTCCTTGTCTCAGCCAATAAAACAGAAATTTAGGACAAAAGGATAGAGTAAGTTTCCATATATGTAAAACTATATTTTAGAGTCATGGTGTCATAGGGATTATGAGTTCAACAAATGCAAAAAGGTCTCCTGTTCCCTTAAATGTGAGCTCTAAACCTTAGCTTAATTTGCCACAGTTCTTCGAATCTAATCGAATGAAATATTTCTTATTTTCTCCCTAAATGTTTTTCAGTAAGTACAAATACTAATGTGTTGATTTGTATCTTTAGGTAAAACCGAGAATTGAGATTAAGTCCAATTAATATTAAAAGTACTGCTTCTAGCCTTCTACCTCTACCAATTTGTGTAGAGTCAGTTTGTTTCAGGCAACATTTCAAAGGAATGAACATTGGGTGTAAGAGAGCTTTTTCATTTTTAGACTGTTGTTTATATTTACATGTACATTCTCAAAATTCTCTTCAAAATTGAACACCAAATGCTTTGTGCTCACAGTAAATCCCATAGGCCAAAATAAAAATTTTCCATTAAAAAATTAGAGGTTTTCCATTTTTTATTTAATTTATTTGAAATGGAAGAAACTAGAGGTGTGTTAAACCACAGTTTCCTGAGAGTTTTCCATGGCAGACATTGTGTCAACTTTAAATAAGGAAAGCTGTGGTTTCTTTCATACCCCCAATATTGTGAAGACTTTCATGCAGGTGTAAAAACTTTTTATTCACAGAGACTACTTAGCCTTCTAAGCTTCAAAATAAATTTATTTAAGATGTATGACAGTATTTGAAATTTTTCTGTATACCTCCAATCCATTTTCTGTCTCCTATGAAGTTTATCACATTCTACCTTAGAATAGTTATTTGTGCATTAGACTTAACCTTTTAAATTACAACAAGGTCATGAACCTCAAAAGACGGTGTTTGTCTTCATGTATAATACCATACCTTCCCATAACAAATCATGTTTATATAAGTACAAATATTAATATGACTATAAAGAGGGTGAAAGTAAGTGAGGAGGGAAGATGGACAGGAGAGGAATTAAGGAGAGAGAGAGAAGTCTCTCTTGGCAGAGGCCACCTGCCTGTTCTTGAGTTCCTACTCTTAGCCCAGTGCCTTACGTGAATTGCAACAGAGACCCAAAGCACTGCCAAAGGTGTGAACCTGAGCCCACTTCCTTCACAAGGCTCTTTGTTTTGTTTGTTTTGTTTTGTTTATGTTTATATTTGATTTCTTTCCACAAAGGTTTGAGAGGGGCTTGGAGCAGGGTTACAAAATGAAAGTAAGTTATCTCAGTTTGAAAGAAAACTTGTGTTTCAGTAACTGTTCTCAGACTGAAATCAGAAACCTTTGATACATGTAGTTCTTAAAATATTTGATTTAAAGAAAGTTAGTTAAAAATATCAAATTTTATAAATTCTAGTAATCATTTAAACTTATTTCTCCTAGGTAAAAAATGTCAAATTTAGCACTTCAAGTTTTCTTTAATTTTATTCTTCATAGAGCAATTAAAAATCATTCAATTTTTCAATTTAAATTTTAAGAGGTAAAGGAAACACAGACCAAATATTTTATTTAACAGTTATATTAACAATTTTAACTCGATTTCAAGGTGCTAACAATTTTAACTCGATTTCAAGGTGCACGTCCGGTTCCCTAACACAAGCTTTTATTCTTTGCGCGCCCCACTGTTCTGTCAGGCTGCCTTAGCTGTGCGCTGTGCCCCCTCCGTTGTGACAGCTCCCGTGGAGTGGCAGCTCTGGGATTATGCGATGCGGTGACTTTTTTTTAATCACTCTCACTTCTTATTAACCTGGTATTTTCTCCCCAAATTCTCCACAAAGTTTGCAACATAGCAGTTACAGAGAAAGACCTAACAAATAACACCTTTATTTATTAGATTAATGAATAATTGTAAAACTTTAAATTTATCCTAGAGCCTTTAAAGAAAAAAATACAGCATTTACTGAAATTGGATCATTAAGTCATTCTGTGATATCTTCCAGGGCAGGGAAGTAACATTGGTAAATAAACTCAATGATAAAATGATTCTTAACAAAACAGTATTTACTTCAAGTCAACATTAGACATGCAAGTATTACCACTGCTCTTCTGAAACTTTTTATAACTCAGATGGAAAGTTGTAGCTAACTCTGGAAAGGAAAATACCCAATTCATCACAGCTTTTAGCAAGTTGTCAAAGCAGGGATTTGGGAACAGTAGTAGATATGTTTTGGGCAATTTTACATGAATACATTGTCAGAACCTACTAGGATTCCTAGAACATTCTATCTAAAAATGTGAAATTAACCCCTGTGATGAGAATAGTTACTTTCTAATTTATCTGTTTCACAAATACAGATGTTCATATATTGGGGATTATCTTTGAAGCACATTTTTAGTTGCTTCCGGAAATATTCTGGAAAAAGCAGTTTAATAGCTGCTGCTGGAGTGTCTTCCCTGGTAACTTGAAGAAGGGCGGGTTCCTGGAGTGTGTGTAACGGTTGGCTGTCAGGGCTACTTGTTTTTGTTGTCATTGTTGCTCTATTTACATTACCCGTGAATGTTCTGAGAATTGTCCTGAGGATTAAAAGGATCACCACTGCATTGAATAACAGATTGTTTCCACTAAGCCAGAATCTTGAATTATGTCACCATTCAGGAAGCACAGTTAGTGCTATAACCTGTTGCCTTGATTTGGCAACAAAAGTGTCTATTGGTGTTGTTTTTGTTTTGAACTTAACTTTTTAACATCATGAACCTGCTGAATTTTTTAAAAAATTGTTTAGTTTACCCCCATGAAGGATTCTGTTTGCATGTATTTTAGAGCAGAGGTAATACCTTTTTCCATAAAGGGACCCTATAGTAAATATTTCAGGCTTTGCAGGTCATATAGTCTCTGTCACAACTACTCAACTCTGCCATTGTCACTTAGTGCAACTGTATATAGTATATGAATAAATGAACTCGGCTATGTTGCCATAAAATTTTATTTTCAAAGACAGGCAGCAGGTGAGAATTGGCCCATGGGCCAGTTTGCCACGCACCTTTTATAAGAATGAAATACTTCTACAAGGGTGTTTTTGTGAAAATGACAGGTCTTTATTAGTTTTTCCCCACTTTCAAATTCAGTAGATTCTTACAGAATTTATCTCCACATCAGTCTGTTTTTATTAACACACTTTAAGCCACAGTTGTTGACATCCTGCTGTGTGTGGTCTGTAAGGATTTAGATTTCATTCCTCCTCCATGTCATATATGTAACTTTTCATCCTCCTAATATATGTAAGTCAAATTTAGGTTAGTTTAACATTTCATGATTGTTTTGACTAGAAGTCACATAGTGATTACTTTTCTTTTTCTACATAATATTTGTTTCCTATAGTCTATCATTGTTAGGTTTGTTAGTTTTCTATCTTCTCTCTAATCCAGACTCCTCCTCAGTTATTGAAATCTCCTCTAAAGTTATTTAATACACCAGGTGTTCTAAATCTAAATTTTCTGTCACCCCCCTGGTGATTACTTTTGTGTGGATCTCCTCTTTATTATAGCCCATGCTTTCCTCATTTTTTGTATCCTTCATTTTAATGGGGCAGTAGCTTCTTGGGAGAAAGGTTCAAGGGATATAAACATCTTAAAACCTTGCATGCCTCAAAGTGTTTTTATTCTTACCTAGTTTGAAAGTCATTTTTCTACAGAGATTTAGAAGCATCGCTCCTTTGTCTTTGACCTCTGATTCTGATTCCTGAATTTTTTTTTGTGGGGGGGGAGGGGTTGTTTTGTTTTGTTCCCCTTCTGAAAGTTTGTAAACCTCAATATTCTGATGTTACTCTACTTTAATATATTGTGTTGAGTCTTTTTAGCCTGAAAAATCATGTGCTTCCTTGGGGGTTCTGTGCTACAGCTTTTATTATGCTTTTTATAAGATTCAAGCAAACATGTTTGACCCATAAACTTCAGCAGCCCAGCTTGTCACTGAGTGACTCAGGCCTTGGCAGGAGATTTGCACCAGGTATAATTTAAAGACATTACTCTGGGTGACATTACCTAGTTCAGTCTTCCAAACAGAATGGATTTCAAACTGCCATCATCTTGCTTTTACTTAGATACTCATGAGTTTGTAATACTGGAAGGGGGGGGGCGGGGAGGAAACCTTATATTGAGCTATTTACCATGAAGGGTAAATTTTAAATTAAAACATTTGAAACTGGTAGTTCTACTTTCACACATCAGTGAAATATATTCACTTTATGGAATGTTTATTGAGTGCCAACCTACTGTTACCCGTTACTGTTCTAGGCACTGGGTCTGTAGCAATGAAGACGACAAAGTCTCTGCTTTACAGATACGCACATATCTTCCCTGGCAGGAGGCACTGTGTGATGTGAAGTAAATGAGGAGTAATGGAAAGTGTTACATTACTCTAATAACATTTTAGCAGAGACATGAATACAGTGAGATGATCAGTCACGTATTTGGAAGTAGAGTGTTCCAGATAGAGAAGATCTTGCAGTGGACCAGCCTGAGCATCAAAAACAGATAGCATGATCTGGCTATATTTAAAAGCTCACTGTGACTTTTAGGGGAAAGTGGCTGTGGGGGAGCAAGATGTTAAGGGGGGTGACCAGGTATGAACTTACTACATTGGTCCAAGTGAGAAGACTATTGGTGAGTTGGTCAAAACAGTAAAAGTAGAAATGGTGAGAAGTGACTGGTTCTGAGTATACTTTGCAGTTAGAACCACAGGATTTGCTGAAGAATTAATTTTGAGATGTGAAGGAAGGAGAAATATAATGGAGGAATCCTTTGAGTTTTAGGCCTACACAACCAGAAAAATTTCTGTACAATAAGATGGAAAAGGCTATTGTAAAATTAGGTTTGAAAAGAAAATCAAAGAATTCTCTTTTAACTCTCAAGTAGATAGTGGATATATGAGTCTGTAGCTACAGTTAGAGCTGGGGGTAGAAATTTGGAAGTATCAGTCTACAGATGATTTTTAAAGCAGTTAACCCAAATTATAAATTTTCTAAATTCATAAATACATTAAATATTAATGTGTAATCTGTTCCTGTTCAGTCATCATCATATATTTATAAAGTGTTCGTTATAAACTAGGCACTGTGGTGAAGGGTTCTAAGAATGCAATAGTAATACTGGACATTCAAAATATAAATATATAGGATTAGATAATTTTAGGTATCTATTAAATGGATGCACAAACATTAAAGTAGTCATAAGTTAAATCATTGAGCTTAATACTACATGTTACTTGATTCTTATTTATTTAGTCTTAACTTGGTCTTTTAAGTTCTTTGAAAGGAGGAGCCATATTATATTTTTTAAATATCACACATGATGCCTATAACAATTTTGGAAAGATATTAAGTACCCAAAAATATTTACTCCTCAATTACACAGTAATTATAATTGTTCAAGGACACTAGTATTTTTGTCAGCATGGATTTTATTGTTTAATTTGCAGCCTGATTCTACTGCAGCTGAAAGAGCAACTGCCAGATTAGCAACACACCCTCTTCTGAAGAAAAAAATAGATGTGCTAAAAGGTATGAATTAAATGACTTTTAAACCATGTACTTAAGTGTATTTATGCCCATTATTTTGACTAAAATGGCTGTTGATTTATTTGTATTTTTGGTTCTTTTTGCTTTCAAGGATCTTTTATATTATAAATACCTCTATTAAATATTTCCATATGTGGAAATGGGCTTGAAAATATGGAAAGTATCTGATATTTGAAGAAAAACTAAATCTGTATTTTTTCTGTAAGTTCTAATATATGAATATATACTACATATTCATAATGTTGAATACAATTGATTTTCTTATTACTGATGTAATATTATTACATTTGATGTTGCCATGACTTGGCCACATAATTTTCATTTATGCCTACTTGTATTATAAAATGTGTTGAAATAATTAAATGCTTTTGTCACAGAAGATACTTATTTTTATGTTTGAAAGCCAATTTATAATGTTCTACAATGAAATCAATATATTATTCCTACAGAAATTAAAGTTGCCATTTTGTTTTATTTATTTGCATTCATTGACAAATACTCTTTTTCAAAACTCCAAGGCATGAAATGATGGTGTGTTTTTGTTTTTTTTTTTTAATTTCATATTTTAAATGGATACTCCTGAGCATTTTTTTAAGTTTGGTTTCTAAAAAGTTAATAGATACCTTTATGAATTCAGACCCATTCATTATATACACAGTCATGCATCACAAAACAACGGGGATACATTCTGAGAAATGCATTGTTAGGGCTTTTCGTACTTATGCAAACATCATAGAGGGTACTTAACACAAATAGGTGGTGTAGCCTGCTACACACCTAGGCTCCATTGTAATCTTATGGGACCACTGTCATATATGCCGTCCATTGTTGATGGAAACATCATTGTGTAGTGCATGATTGTATTTAATATAATGTGTAAATAATATTGTGTTTCTAAATAACTTTAGAAATACTGTACTGAAGCAGTGACATTTTATATTGTTTGTTTCAATGCTGAAACAAGTTGTGTACTATTCCTCTTGCAGCTGCTGTCAAAGCCTTTAAAGATGCAAGACAAAATGATGCTGGAGTTCAGTCATCAAAGAATGCTTCAGAAGAAAATTATTCCAAGGACGCTTCAGGTTCAAATGATGATGCCATTAAGTTACAGCATGAAGGAGCTATTAACAGTGAGCAGAAAGACAAAGAAGCCAAAATGTTGGCAAAGAAACCAGTAAATAGTTCAAAAGTAAAAATAGCCAAGATGGAACATGGACCCCAAACAGGGGACATTCCAAATTCTCCATCAGAGCCTTCTGAAAAGGATTCTCTAGCTCCCTCTGAACCCCAGAAGGTACCAAAAATGACACCGTTACGTCAAAACAAACAAAAAAAAGCATCCAATAGCTCACTTGGTGAAAACAGTGATGGAGAAGAATTGCTTGAAGAAGAGAAAGAGTATTTTGATGACAGCACAGAAGAAAGGTTTTACAATCAGTCTTCCGTGTCTGAGGATAGTGACAGTGGTGATGACTTCTTCATTGGGAAAGTCAGACGGACACGGAAGAAGGACAGTAATTGCCATTCTTCGGCGTTAGCACAAAAATCCCCCCAAAAGATGTCCCCTGAAGAGAATATACTTGAAACCTGTCAGGGTATAAGAAACGACAAAAGCAAGCCAAGTACAGAAGCAAGGAAGTTTGAATCAGTGTTTTTCCATTCCTTATCTGGATCTAAAAACTCTAGAAGGTAATTATATTTTTATGTTCTGAAATAATTATTTGTTTCTAATTTTTAAAAAACATTCAATATTTATACATCCTAATAATGAGAGAAGACATTACCATAATTGTAATTTATACAAAACACATCTTGTGACTTGGACTCTCCGACCTTATATTGGGATGATATATACAAATACACATGTGGCAATGACACATTTATTCAACTTTATAAGAAAATAAGATGTTATAGCCAAATAACTTTTCCAGCTAAATTTATCCCTTCAGTTATCAAAATTTTGAAACTTTGAGTTGGTTTCTGAAGAAAAACTCCTGAAAATATCTCACATGTCCCACCCTTTTAAACAAAGCTTTATGAGTAGAAACATGGTTGGTTTGGGGTGGTTGTTGGTAACCTAGGGCCATTATTGTAAACATCATTTTATTATGTATTCCTACCTCAGTACATAGAGCTGTTTGCCCTAACACTGCATTACTCCAGACTGCTTTATATTTGGTGGTCTGCTGTCTCTATCCCTGCTGTTTAACCATCACTTTTCACAGCTATTCTGTTACGAATCAATATATTTATTTTCATTTGTATTTTTAATCAGATAAGAGGTATCTTCACACATGGTATGCTCATTTCTTCAGTAACAGCTGTTTGCTTCAGTAAACTGTTTTTCTATATATTTATATCCCAGGGGTCATTTTTAATAGGAAACTATGATGTTGATAATTTGTTGAAAGAAATAAGAGTATGGAAAAGACACACAACCGTCTTTGGAGCCTTGAAAATAATTAAAATATTATATCTCCCAAACCTGCCTCAAAAGGCAGCATTTTTTCTCATTTGAAAATAACACATCACTATTTCTTTCCTCTACCACAAAATGTAAATCTTAGTTTTTGTTATATATGACTCATTCTCCCTGTGAGGAGATTTTCGAAATTCTTTGTCAAGCTAGTCCTCAAGAATCGACACAAGGTAAATAGAGGATATTTTATAAGCAGAAGCCCCTATGAAGATAGAGGAAAATTCCCTTATGTTTCTGTAGTAATATTGGGGCTTAACAAACCTTCAGCGAAGCTGAAACCTGGGGTTTTTGTATTTCTATAGATTGCTGGTGGGATGAGAGAGTACTGTAGTCCATTGGCTGCATTTTAGCATCAGTTTTATTACATTATCTTAAATCAGAAGGGTGGGGTTTTTTCTCTTTATAAATTTTATTTTTTAATTACAGTTTACGTTCAACATTATTAGTTCCAGGGGTACAGCATAGTGGTTGGACAGTCATGTACTTTACCAAGTATTCCAGTACCCACCTGGCCCATACATAGTTTTTACAATATATTGACTGTATTCCCTATGCTGTATGTACTTTATACCCCATGACTATTTTGTATACCAATTTATACTTTTTAATCCCTTCGTTTTTTTCACCGAGTCCCTCAAATCTCCTCCCCTCTGGCAACCATCAGTCTGTTCTCTGTATCTATAAGTCTGTTTCTATTTTGTTCATTTATTTTGGTCTTTTGATTCCATATTAAAATGAAATCATATAGTAGTTGTCTTTCTCTGTTAAGTCAGAAGATTTATCTTTTTAAAGTCCTAATAGAGTTTTTCTTCTTTTAGAAGTTACAGAGAACAGGCTCCAAAAAGCAACACCCCAGGTATGTTATTAATGGCTGCTTCATCTCCATATGTAAGTAAGCAATGTTTTGCCAAAGTGGGAGGATGAAAAATGTACACACAGAAATGGAAACAGAACATCTTAAAATTATCAATATAATTTTTAATTTAAATTGTTTTTTTCCGTGTGTCCTGTCAATGGGAAACATAGACAAAAGTTATTGGAAATATTGGGTCTGTTTAATTTATCTTGAACAAGTGCATTCTTTAAGTTGTGTAAGTTATACCTTAGTCAATGTCGTCCTGTTAAACATTCGGTAACAAGTACGTTACTTTTTGGGTTGGGAGTAAAGTCAAAGCATTTTTAAATTAAATTATAACAAGTCAAGTTTAATATATTGGGTAGGCTGACTTATGTGCATATTTCAAATTCTGATTTTAAAAAACTATAAAAGTTTATTTGTCCCTCACATTACAGTCTACTATGAATCAGCAGAGGGTCATTCAAGGATCAAGTTTCTTCTTTTGGCTTCTTCCTCATCCAGTTCTCAGATATTCTCCATTTGGCCAACAGAAAGGAATAAAGTACATGGAGAATTTTGCAGGAGTTATCATGGGCGAGGCCTGAAAGTGGCAGGAATCAGTTCTGCTGACATTTTATTAGCCAGAATTCAAGTACGTGACTCCATCTAGCCACAAGGGAGCAAAGAAATGCAGTCTGGCTCTGTGACTAGGAGGAAAAAGAAAGTAGAATTTCTTGAACACATGATGACCATCCTTTTCATCACCAGATGCCCATTTCACTTTTCCCCTCACACACAGAGCGCACTTACCTCCTACCCAGTGGAGCCAACCCAAAGTCCCATCCAGCTCAAAGCGCAGGATTACTGAGTGATGATAGGATACGGTGCTCTCCATCAGGTCTCTTGGATGTGACTGCTCAAAGTTTGGTGACCTGAGTGTTAAAAAAAACGAACTGCCTGCCCCCACCTCATACCAAATATTTAGTGGCAAAGGAGGGGCAACGTAACTACAATAAAACCTGTCAAATCAGATAAAGGAAAAATGGGAAGGCTCACAACACATTTACTACCTGAGCAAAGAGAACTCCTAGAGGCACAAGATAGAAAAGATTGCAAGGAGCAGATAGACCACGATGAATAAGTATATCGAGATTTGATATTTATTATAGTCTACTATGCATAATACTGAAACCGGTATTCTAAAGTAGGGTGGAGCCATTAAAATAACATAAAAATTTGGCATTGGCTTAGCAGTTCAGTAATAGGTAATAAAAAAAAACAGGTAACTGAAGCTGAGAGTGAGCATCCTGTGTGCTATTGATCGGTAAAATGGTTGGCATGAGAACCTGGGAAGCAGGCTCTGTGACTGGAATTTGTAGCACCAGGGTTAGTGGTTGGAAAGAAGAAAAAAATTACTGTATTGATGGTTCTTTGGGAATGTATGCCGAAAAACAAAAGAGAATAGAAGCTTGAATGTGAGGTTTTTTATGGTCAGGCCTTTTATTCACATTCCATTGGCTATAACTCAGTTACATGGCCTCATCTAACTGTAGCGTGATAGGAAATGCATTGTGGTTGTGCACCTAGGAGGAAAAGAAGACTAGGTTTGGCAACACGTGGCCATCTCCTTCATTTACTTTATTTTTAAAAACATAGGATAATTAAACTAAAGGCATTCCCATGTTTTCCTCGTGAGACCCACATAAAAGAGTTTGTTGTTTTTGCTTAACATATATTTATAGTATTTATCAGTCTCTTTACTTGTGCAAATTTACTTTGCATAACTAAAAAATATTTGTATAGAAATAGTCTTATTCAAATCTTAGTTGTCATGGAAAACTTTCATTGAACATTAATTCTTCATTTTTTCACCACTAGAGCCACTCTTGGAGTATTATAAAATTCTAGAGCACATGTGATTAGTACAAAATATGAGACAGTTGTACAAAGATTGGGACATTTTGAATCTGTACAGTGATATTTTGGAAATGGTATCCCACCCTATGTACACTTATTTATAAAACATGATGCCATCTGCTTTTTAAAAAATATTTTATTGTTCATACTATTACAGTTGTCCCAATTTTCCCCCTTTTGCTTTTTAAGGAGATTTTTAAAAAGCTTTTGACAGAGATATCTTAGGTTGCAGCGGAAAAATTATGTATCCCCAGGACTGCTTAATACTTCTATATTAAACTTTTTGTCTTCCTGTTTGTTTTTTTTTTATTCTGTAAACATGCATTGATTCATGTCTTTTCAAGAAGCTAGTATATCTCCCAAATAGTACTTTGTTGTTCAAAATAATGTATTCAGTAATTGCCATGCCTAATAATATAAGAGGCTGTAGGGACTAGAATGCAAATTGCCACCCTCTTATCTGGTGGATATAAGTTCATAACTAAAATAAAACTTTGTCTTGTGTTTGAGTATATTTACTAATTTACTTTGTAGTTATCACTTTGTTCAGTAACAAAAGAAAGTGAAATCAATTAGTAGACCTTTAAAAGTAATCAACATTTTCAGATTCAGTATCGTAGTAAAGATGCATATCTTCTGGATACATCTACTTCACACACATATATCATAAGCAAATGATTATTTTTTTAAGACAGCACAACGTATATGAGGAGGTATTCAATGTACACCTACTTACACAGATTAGGAAGCATGTGTCCCACAATTGACTGCTTGTGTATATTTCAACTGCACACTGTTCCTTGTTGGATTTAGATCTTAAATTGTGAGGTATTCCATTTCAGTAAAACTAAATTTCTTCTTTACTGTTGATTTGAGAAGATGAAATATATTTCTCTTGTATGTTGTTTGGGTATATAGTTAGTTTTCATTATTTTTGCTTTCCCCTCCAAGGTTTTCAGCAAAATGAACCTCAGCTGAAGAATCAGTTCATTAAGCATGCCCAAAGAGGACCCAAAAATACAGAACAGCAGACACAACTGCCTCTTCATCCTTCATGGGAAGCAAGCAGGAGGCGAAAGGAACAGCAATCTAAAATTGCTGTGTTTCAGGGGAAAAAAATTACATTTGATGATTGATTAGTACCTCTTTTTGTAAACTTTCCATCTCAAAATTTTTGTTGTTGTTGTTGTTTTCCAGCCCACAATTTAAACTCATATTGGAATAAGTCTCTTTGGAGGGGGCATAGAAATAAGTTTATTGTTGTTTTTACTTCTCCTTAAGTGTTCAAGTTATGTTTACATAAACCTTCCACAAATCAACTACATAAATTGGTTTTTAAAAATATGCCCTGACCCCTTTATAAAAGAATTTTGAGTTTATAACTCAGATTTCCTCATTTGTGCTTATCATGAAGTGTACTTCACTGGATTGGGTCTGTGTTTCTTTGCCTTGAAAATAAATGTTGAGATATATTTAAAATAATGGAAAAATATGAGGAAATTGTAGCTATGTAAAATATAGATCACCCTTGCTAAAAGTTATTCTTGTTAGCAAATTAAAGTTAAGATAATGTTTATAATGGATATACAGATTATAAATTATACAAATAAATGCTAATTTTTATTATTTTAATTATTTGTGATCTTGTACTTTTTGACTGTTTTAGTTTTCCAAGACAACCTTGGAATTCTGAATTATATTTCAAATATTTAGGCAACATTCATTGTATAAATACTGCAACACAACCAAAAGATGGTTTTATATTTCACCACATATAAATATTTTTGTTAAATCCAGAATGTACAGCCTCTAATTGCATGGCTCTTACAGAAACTTGTTTTGAGGAATCATAGACTGGAATTGATACGAACAGATTGTGAAGGAAGTATGCCTGGAAGAGCATTTCCACTGAGAGTTGAACAAAGAGGTTATAAAGATGACTCACTGAGGAAGGGACTGCTCTACACATCACAATACTGTTACTAAAAGGAAAACAGGATTTTAAAAATCCTTTCAAAAGTTTCACTTTCATTGCCATGGGAGGAAGTAAAGGTTTTTGGTTAACTAAACAGAAGTAGCTAAATTCTGTATTTTCTCTGCACCGGTCCTGTTGATCGCAGGAATTCATAAACTCTGGATAGTCATTTCTCTCTTTTCCAAGAGCTTAAAAATTTAGATAACTTGAGCAATGGAATTTAAGAGATTATGCAGAGAGAAAATTATGGCTCTATTGAATGGAAACTCTGTTTTTTCTACTTTTTAAAAAAAATACTGACATTAATTATGTTGATTGAAATTAATTTCAATTGAAATTTTAATTATGAAAGTTTATGACAGGAAAAAGTGAAAGAAAAATGTCTCTCTATGCCTACCAAGATTTAGCCAAACTGCAAGGTTTAGAGCACTGTCCTCCAAACTGCCATGCCTGCTCAAAGCCTTTTACCCCAGATTCAAGGAGTTAGGGGCCAGCTACTAAGACAGAAGAACCCACACAAGACCACTCTCACTTCTGGCACCAACACTACAGGTTTGGAGGGGGCGTGTGGGGAGGGGGAATAGGGTTCAGTGTGCCCCATACACTCTCAGGCTCAAAAATTTGCTAGAAAAACTCCCAGAACTCACTGAAACCTATTATAGTCTCAGAGTTTATTAGAGGGAAAATGAACTAGTTATAAACCAAGGAAGAGATACATGGAGTATCATCTAGGAGGGCTCTAAGTGCGAAGCTTCTTGTCCTCAGGACACATTATTATCCTGGCATCAGTATGCAGATTGCCCGTTGAAGGAGCTCACTCAAGCTTTAGTGTCCAGAATTTTTACTATGCCTTCAAAATCTAAGCATGATTGATTAATTGCCCACTTGATGGTTCCAGATGGACTGGTACCACAGGACCCAAAGCCCCTGTCCTGGATCACATGGTTTGTCTTTCAGTGTAGCCAGCTCCTACCCCAAAGATAGTCCTATCAGGCATGGTATGTATTGCCTTAAGGAAGCTGAAGGCAAAGAAGATTCTCTTTGGGCAGGACCAAGTTCTCTACTACACAATATCCTGCACCAAAAATTGGTTTTTACTGCCTTTTCTTTACCCTTGGCTTTCATCCTCCTTCTCCCTCCTTTCCTCTTCATTCTTTCCTATGTACCCTCTCTCTGTGTACTTCCTTTTCTTTCTCTCTCTCCATCTGCTTTCTTGCTCTCACCTTTTTCTCTTCATTTTTCCTTCTCCTTTATAGTCTCTCTCTAAAAATAAAGTCATTCTCTATTCTCTTGTGTTTACCACTATCCAGTTATCTAATACTCAGATTTTTCCAATTGTCCCAGCGTCTTTTTACAACAACAGGAAAACCAGCATCATGCCATACCTTCAGTTGTTATGTCTGGTTGGTTGGGAATAGTTCCCTTCTTAGTATTTCATGACATTGACATTTTTCAACACAGAGGAGTTTATTTTGCATTGTCCCTTTATTTGGGTTTGTAAAGTTCCCATTATTATATTGAAGTTAGGCACTTTAGGCAGAAATATTCCAAAAGGGGTGTTGTATTTATCCCAGTGCCTATCAGAAGGCAGTTGATGATGTTGACGTGGCCTAGTACTGGTGATGTTAACTTTTCTTGTTTCAAGTGGCGTCTGTGAGGTTTCTCTACTGGAAAGCTATTTTTCTCTGTAATAATAATCTTCTAGGGAGATACTTGGAGACTATATGCTATTCTAAAACTTTAATGGACTAGTTCTAACATACATTCATAATTCTTACTAGAAACAATTACTGCTGTAGTAGTTGTAAGTGGTGATTTAAAAAATATATTATTCTTGCTTCTACAATTATTAGCAGGCTTTTTATATTAAGGAAAAGCTTTCCTTTCTCCCCTATTCAACTTTTAAATTATTTCAGTATGATCTCATTAATACCTCATCTTTCTATTTTATATTTTTATTGTGTAATTGTTATTATTTCATTGTTTCTATTATTGGCTTATAAGGTTTACAATATACATCTTTATCACAGTCTGACCTCAAATAGTAGTATACCTCTTTACATTTTAATAAGTACCTTACTACGGTACACTTTAATTTCCTTCCAGTCTTTGTACTGTCTTTTACATACATTTTATTTCTACATGTAACTCTATAATATTGTTTCTGTTGTATCGGCCCATTTGTCTTCTTACATGTTTATGTTTCTATTCCCTTGAACATCTGGAACATTAATAGTTGTTTTAATGATCTTGTCTGCAGTAGTGTTCAACTTGGATCAATTTTTATCCCCAGAAGACATTTGGCAACATCTGGAGATATTTTGGGTGTAACAACTGGGGAGAAGGAATACATCTAGTGGATATAGGCCAGGGACACTGCTAAACATTCTACAATATATACAACAAAAAATTATTAAGCTCAACATGTCAACAACACTAAGGTTGGGAAACCTTGGTCTAGGGTTCATTTGGCCCCATGACTGAAAACTACCTAATACTTTGTTTATTAAGAAATCTTTCTGTTGTGTCTGGTGAGAACACAAGCCACTCCAGGGACTGTGTAAGTTTTGAGATTGTTCCACTAACTCCTTCCTAATGATTTTCCCCCCTGGCCTTGGAGCATTCTTTTTGCAGGTTGCACAGGTCAGTCTTACACCATCAACTTGAGAGGATCCTCCTATAGCTCTATAGAGTGCTTGCTTTCTGTACATCTTCCTCATCTGTATTTTTCCTCACAGATTCTAGTCACATTAGTTTATCTAAATTCTGAACTCTGTCTCTTCACTGAGGCCACTGAGTTATTTTGAGGTTCCTTCCCCCCGGGGCACTAGAGTTTGGAAACTTCAGGCGCCGAGCTAAAGCTCTCAATTGTTTTCTTTCGGTTATTAATATCCTGTACAACTTCTGGTTTGCTGTCTGAAAATCTTTGTTTTATGTTATCAGTTTTCTAGTTGTTTAATATAGTTAGAGGGTAAAGTTTCTGTTACTACATAATGGTCAGCAATAGAGGCCCATTGTTTTAATACTCAATTTGTCCTTAATTTGACCAGTGGGAGCCTTCTCCAGCTATCTCCTGTTTCCCTTTGATAAGTATTATCCACAATATATTTACTTAATTTCTCAACCCTAGAATACACAGAAGTTAGTTTCAGAATTGCTAATGATGCCTCTGCAAGACAGAAGTCTACTAACCAAAGCTTAATATGTGTTTGGAGTTCTTTTTTCTTTACTCTGAGGGCATATGGTCTTAAAACTAAGTTTGAAAGTTGTCTGGGACTTCAGTGAAATGATGGAGTAAGGACACCCAGAAATTCTTGCCATAAAAAACAATGAGGAAACTGTCCATATTGTCAGAATAAACTTTTTTCAGAGCTAAGGAATTAACCAAAGGGAGTATTTTTCAAGCAAAAATGGCTGAATTTTGGTAAGAACAGTGATCTCTGTGACATTGTAACTTGCCCTGTTCTCATCCTCCAGTTCTCATATCCATGGTTACCAACATGAAACCAGCAGCTGACAGCCATTGGGGGTAGCAGAACAGGGTTGAACCTTCAAAGATACATTCTCTTAGAATTGTCACTATTTGACCACTTCGGTATTTCACTGGAAGATTTTTCTTGAAAATCTGTTTTGACTAAGAAGAGCTCAAAAAGCCCTTCTCCTGAGATCACTTTTTTGAAAACAACACTTTGCTTAACATCACAGCTGCCTGAGGCAGTGAATAAGTGTTGGGACAAACAAGAGGTTAATCAAAAAAGCTTAAAAGAAAATTGGGAGAATCCGTTGTCCTTAGGAAATCTGGTAAGTTCTGACACCTCTTGGAACTAAAGAAGTCACATGCATAAAAGGCTGCATGCATGTTCAGGAAAAAACCAAGGATGCCCTAAGCTCACCTCTGGTTGCCCAATATGTTAATATATATCTCACTGATAAAGAACGGACTTTCTTGTCTCAAGGACACAGGAGATACCTTGTACAAGCAAGAAATAAGGCTAAGGTGGAATTGTCAACTTTCTGGCTAAGTGTACAGTGCCCCAACCTACACACGGTACTGTCAAGAAAATCAGGGAAGCATTAATTCCAGGCATTTAAGGAACACTCCAGTTATTAGTGTACTACTAAGCTAATGAAGCAAAAGCTTGAGTGGCCATGCACAACAAAGAATACTGACTTCACAAAAATAGTTCAAAAAAGTCACTACGCAACAAAAACCAGTAACAACAAGACTTGGGGAGAGGGTAATATCTGATTTCTGGAGTTAAAATATATTTAAAGTGTCCAGTTTTCAAGAAAACACTAAGGCATGTGGGAAGAATGACCCATCTACAAAAGGAGAAAAGCAATCAATGGGATCTGTTCTTGAATGAAACCCAGACTTTGGATTTATTCAACAATGACATTAAACTATTTTAAATATGTTCAAAGGACCAAAGGGAACCATGTCTAAAGAACAAAAAGTCTGAGAACACTGTCTCACCAAATACAGAATATCAATAATGAGATAGAAATGATAAGTGACAAAAAATAAGAGCCAAAAAGTATAACAACGGAAACAAAATATTCAACAGAAGGCTCAATAGCAGGCAGAAGGCAAACCAAAACATAGGTCAGTTAAGATTAT